AGCCGCAACGTTGCGCACCGTTACCCCCCCGTGCTGTCTCAAGTGGTCTCAGTTGCGGTTCTGAAATAAGCATTTTAAAATGTTTTCAAAATAAGTCTGGCACTTTGGCGAAAATCCAGGACTCGCTGGAGGGATTATATATCCCCTCTGGCCTGGGAACGTCTTGGAGTCCCCCAGGACGAGCTGGAAGGTGTCGCTGGGGAAAGGGAAGTCTGGGTCTCTGCTGCTGCCCCAGCGACCCGATCCCAGATAAGCCGGCCGGACGAACAATTTATATTGTTAGTCTAAATTATTACATTTAAAATTATAACTCTAATTCAAGCAGAATAGCCTATTGTCAAGATAATCACAGAGCGTAATTTATTTTCAACTCAAAATATCTTCAAACTAACGAAATATAAAGTTATTAGTGAGGAAAACCCGTCTGGATAACAGCAGACTGACTGTTGGTAAAATATATGACAGGTCTGGACCACTCGTGAATTTTGTTCGTATCTGAAAAAATTTTTAGAATACGAAAAAATAGTTGAATGCCACAAATTCTCCTAAATCACTCGTACGCTCAATTTAAGAACAAATCTGTGCGTRCGAACGGTTCTTGCATGAGGCCCATTATTCTTACACAATCAGTTCTTGTTTAGTAAATCAGTCTCAAAACAAGATCAAAAAGACTTTTTGGCTGGATATAAGATTTTAAAACTTGGTAAGATGGACAGTTTTTGCAGTGTTAACGCTGAACATGTTCTCACTGTTGCAGGTCCAGGATGACTGGAAGTACGTGGCCATGGTTATCGACCGGATTTTCCTCTGGGTTTTTATCCTCGTCTGTATCCTGGGAACAGCTGGCCTCTTCCTCCAGCCCTTATTACTGGGGGAGGATATTTGATTGAATTTGATCGAACTAATAATGCAGACTGCTGAAATGCACACAGCTGTCTGTTACATAGGTTCCAGTCAGGGTGAGGACAGTGTTAAAACAGAGAACACACAATCGATAGGGGAAAAAAACAACAACAGTTGTTATTTATTTATATGTTTCTGTTTTGTAATTTACTTTCTAAAAAAGAAAAAGATTGATGAAACTCCATAACTTTGGTGTGGACTGTTCTGACCCGCTCTCCAGCCTCAGAGAGAATCTGTTGAATTTGGGAGCGTCCATCACCAGGAAGTGTTCCAACATTCATGGAAATATGAAACTTGTAGCGGCCGTCTGTGCTATACAATGAATTAATAAAGATTTTCTTTGTTTCTTTTCAGCTCTTTTGCAACTATACTCCCACACTGCCAGTCATTATATTACAGGATGCTGATTGTTTACATTTATCACTGTGAGCCGCGGGACTCAAACTTTCATGGACAATAAAATTAAATTTGACATAAGTCATTTCATGAGTATAGTTTTTCTCTTAGGGCAGTGTAGTTATCTTGCTAAATTTGAAGATTATGCTGTTTTTTTCTGTTTTTACCAGGCAAGTGATGGACAGGTTTTATAAATGAAATCTTGCAATCAGAAAATTCAGCATTTGGTTTAATATTATGTTCCTGAAGATAAAAAAAATACACAGTTTGCCATTTTTATATTTTATTTCTATTCTATAACATCACTGAGTTGTACTTTTGACTTAAAACAGCAATGTATCAATGTATTTTTTAATACAATGTCYATCTACTTTCTTTAACTGTTTGCTCCAGTTTAATTCAATTCAATTCAGTTTATTTATATAGCGCCAAGTCACAACATACGTTGTCTCGGGGCACTGTACATAAAAAAAGAACAATCTAAAGAAGAAGCCAGCAGATTGTGTTGAATCACTTCATCACAGTCTTCCATCCTGAGCAAACAGTGGAGAGGAAAAACTCTCTGCTAATCAGGAAGAAACCTCCAGCAGAACCAGGCTCAGGACAGCTGGCCATCTGCCTCGACCGGCTGGATTGGGGGGCTTTAAGGTTGCATGTAGCTGGTGCCTGTCTTCAGCTGTCTGTGGTCGACAGAGGGACATATAGACAGACATCCGTTCACACTTAGTGGTGATTTAGATATTTTTTAATTCAGTTCAATTCAATTCAAAAATATGTTATTGATCCCAGAGGGAAATTAGGGTGGGGAGAAACAAGAGTACCCAGAGAAAACCCACACATGCACTGCGAGAACATGCAACAGTGCTAACCACCTGCCCCACTACACAGACCAAACAAAAAGGTTTTCTTTAAACACCATTAGGCTGTGTTTGTCTTTTCTTGCGGCACCAGACTGAGTCCATGACGCTGATGTCAGATCAGATTAAAGTTGCCTGCATTGATAAATCACACAGTCACTGTCCTGTGAGGTTTGCAACCTGCTCAAGTTGAGACAAAAGAAACTAACAAATGTCAATATTTTAGCATTATTTTTATGTATTTTGTTTACATTGGAATTCTACTATATAAAACCAAAGGCTGGCTTGTAAATGTTTGTGTTGCATAGACATTATATGACATTCTAGCTTATTCGGATWTCTTTGAAACACATTTTTTGTTGCTGTATGTTGTTTGAGATGTTGTAAGCAAAGAGGGACACCTTGTGCTGATTGTTTGTTAYTACAAGTGATTGCCTCTTGTTCTTAATGGAACGTATGACTTAATCATATTGCTACACAGAATAATCACACTTGTAAAATAAAAAATGAAACTGATGGAGACACTAAATATTGTTCAACATACTATGGGAGCTCTTGTTTGTGCTCTATCCATTTACAGTACACGCAAGTGGAGCAGCTATGAGGGTCCAGGATCAAAGTGAGGGATGAGGGTCTCGCTCAAAGACACCATGACATGTGCAATCGAACCTGTGACCTTCTGGTCTGTCCACCAAAACTCATGGACCTGACAAGGAGGAGTAATCAGAGAAATAGCCAAAAGACCAAAGCTGTGCAGCTGTTTTGTAGGAGATGAGAACGTTGTTGTACATAGGATCACTTTAAGCTGCATGGACAGGTACAGTATGATCATTTTAAAAACTGCAAGTAATWTTCTGCTCAAATCATTCTCACCTTAGGTCAGGCTAATAATCTGATTCAGCACAGAATCTTAAAAATAAAAAAGTCAAATCCTTATTTGAATTCGTTGCAGCACAGGATTTGTATCTGATGAGCTTCTGATTGTAAACACAGCTTATCTACAAACTTAACCCCTGCAAAGATTWGAATATTATCGCCTAATTTGTCTGTGAATTCATACAACTGCTCTTTCAAAATAAGTTTACACAAAAAGTTGTGTTATATAAAGGAACTGTGCATAAAATATTTTTTTTGTAAATTGAATATTATTTTTGATTGAATTTTTTTTGAGAAAAAGCAGCAGAAATCATATGATTTTTTTTTCTTCTGCTGCTACCTTTCATTTGATTTATGATTTGTATTGTTATTGTATATTGAATTTATGTTGTTTTGTTTTAAATGAATAAACTTTATAAATTAAAAAAATATATCAAATATGATCTGCGTGCATGTTTCTTTATTAAAACATAACTTTTTTTCTTGGTATTTAAACTGCTTTTAAACCTACACCTGTCAGATATCTCATTGTCTACATTAACAGTCATTTGGCCAAAATGATGCATTAAAATGGGAGAAAGTAATCAGTTTTTTGTTTGTTTGTTTGTTTGTTTTCATTGCATACACACAGCCGTACATATCACAGTAGCATAAATACAAGCAGTTCCGTATCCATCAGGCAAAACTATCAGGGAGGCATCCGATTGGATGACGCTGACCATAGAAAAACAAGAACTACAAATTTAAGAGGTATCCTTTTATTTCCACATTTACATTCATTCATGTATAATTTATAGAAATGACATGTTGTATAAACAAATTATGCATATTATTTAKAAAATTACATTTGGAACTTTTTGAAGTCTCTGTTGGTTAAATGACAAGTGAAGTCAATATGTTTATTCTCTCTGATGGGCAACTTTGTAGCTAAAAGGAATTTTTTCTCTCGGTGTGCGGTGTAAACAAAACGTCTTAATAAAACACAACGTGTCTGCAAGTTTTAATAAAAGAGGTGAGAAATAAATACAGATTTGCCAAGACTTGTTAGGAGTTGTGGGGGAAATGACATCGCCTTCCCCTCCGTTTCCTAAACATTTTTTTCTTGTTTATCATTGTTTTTTATGTATCTGTACACCGGTTTTTTGTCATTACTGCAAAAACAAGTCTCTTCTAATTACTGTATTTGTGCTTCTGCACCCCACCCACCCCCCATGCAGAGAAGTTTTCAAATACTTTTTCTACTCTTTAATAAAGTCTGTATTACACAAAATACCTTTACAGCTTATCWACTATTTAGTCACCAGCATGCCTGATATTGTTGGTGCAATAAACACATGTGACCACACAGAGGCAGTAAAAGCTCAAGGTTCAGACAGTCTTCCTTATYATTCTCATGCCAACAGTGTTTGTGAGTTTTTATTACATTTATACTGATCAGAGTCATCTGTGTATTATTAGCCATCAACACAGACCAATGTGACTTCTTCAAGAGGGTCACCTGTTCCCACAGGTGTTCTCACAGCCTTTTTAAAGAATGCAGGATTTGAGGTCCTGGTGAAAGGAGGTGGAAGGAATTTTAAGTCCCAACAATCTGTAAGAAGTCTTTAAGGAAACTCTGTTATTATTCTAGTTTATTTGAGAGAAACTTTTCCATGCACGTTTAGCTAAAACATGCTGTACGCTGTTCGCTGAACTGTACACCACCCCTACAAAGAATCTGAGCTGCTTCCTGAGAGAGGAAGTAACTGAAACATTCAAGTCCTGACAAGACAGTTGTGTGAGGGGTTTGCAAACAGGATTGAATGTTTATCTTGGGAAAATGTTTTCCAGAATCTCTTGTAGCTTTTAGGGCAGCTTCTGATATGAAAAAGAAGTTCATATTAAAATTGTGCTCTTACAGATAAAATATAATGTGATCAGTTTGGCTGAGCATCAGGACTTATTGGTGTTATGTAAAGATTTTCACTGTAATATTTTTACTTCTCTTCATGACTTATTTATGTACGGAATGTTACTTGAATGGAATCAGCTCCAAAATATACAGGTTTTGGAAACGTTATGCATTTTGTTGCTTCATTCAAAGCAACAGCTGTAATAGTTCAAACTGGTTAAATAGTTTGTTGTTGTTTTTTTTGTGACTATTCCTTATATTTTTGTGTTACACCATTACTTCCACCCGTTTTCTGTACACAGGCATCTCCTACACGTTGTGCATTTTTTATTGGCAGCGTATAGATTTTTAACTCATAACTTGAAAACATTTAACATGCATGCCTTGTACTTTAAGTGTTCCTTATTGGTTGCATTTCCTGCCCAACTGCACAATGAAAGCTGGCTCTGGATCAGTTTAAAAGGTGGGCTTGAAAAAGAGTGTGAGAACCTGCTCTGCAGCGAGACTTCTGGCACTCTAGCATCTCACAAACTGACTGGAAATGCCCCTTAAAAAGAACGCTGTCTGCTCTGAATCTCATTCTTTCAAATGTCCAAAAGTGGCCACAAAGACCAACTACTGTGCTTTTCTTTCATTTGTTATTATGCACTGAAGTTTTTTTGTTTTTTTGTTTGTTTCTTTTAGAGAGTACTTCCAAGATTGGTAGGAACAATGATGCTGGCCCATTTGTAAATAACTGGAATGAAAAGGAGAGCAGAGCCAAGAATGGACACCAGAAGAAAAGCCCACAAAAACATTCGATCCAAGACCTGGGCAACAAACTTCCAGTCCTGCACCACCTGCAGAAGAAGAAACACGTGTTAGACTTTTAAAATATTCTCTACAGCAGAGGAGCCCAAAGTGGGGCCCGCAGGCCAAAATTGGCCCACCAAGCTATTTGATTTGGCCCACCAGCAGTTGTCCTTGTTACTAGATTGTAATTGTGTTAAGCTGAAATATAAAATACAAGTAACAGAGACATTTAGATTAAATTTAAGCCCATATTTGCACACCTTATAAGACACCATATACTCAAATTTTAACTTGTGAAAAGTCCCATGAAACTTTGCTGCCTGAGCAGCATACATTAAATTTTCCCCTTTGTCCATGGGCTGACCCCCCCCCCCCCAAAAAAAAAAAAAACAATAAATAAAATAAAAATAAAAACCTAAAAGAATGTGGGCAACCACACTGGCTGCTAGCTTAATCATATAAATAAAACAACTTTTTGTTTTTACTTGCATTTCTTATATTCTGCATTTGGCCTGCGGCCCTCAGCTTGATTTAAATTGTGGCCCTCTCAGGGAAAATGTTTGGGCACCAAATGGTCTACAAATAAAAAAAAAATGTTGAAGCCAGATCCAAGTAATTCATGTGATTTGATTGTTTTCATCAGAAATTTGTGGTGTTTGTATAACTGAGATGATTCTTTTTTCTTCTGTATGTTTTTCAGCATCTAACTCGTTCCACAATTTTGTGCTATTTCAGCAATCTATGTCAAAACATTCAGCTTATTTATGGCACGGGTGCATTGACTTTTACTATTTCAACAACTTGTACTTTTCAGTTATTTAGTTATTTAGTCATTTTTTTCTCATTGAAAATGAATGAACTTGTTTTGAACATTTTTAAAATCCTTTCAAATGTTTATAAATCTTTTTGGCATCTTTTGTTCTGGTTCTGCTTTTTTCCCCCATCTTTTTTTTGYTAATTTCAGCTTCCTTCACCTTCTTTTTTGCTAGTTGCCTTTCTGCTTCTTTCAGACATTCTTCAGTTAATTTAAACGTTTTATGCTTCTTTTAGCTAATATCTCATCATTTCAGCTGTTTCTTGCCTCTTTAGCTAATTTGTAGCTATTTTTAGCTAATTTTAGACTTTTTAATTTAAAATGACCTTTTTGTGATAATTTCAGCTTCTTATTCTTTAATTTAGCACACATACTCTTTCTGCGTCTTTGCTAATTTCAGCTTTTTCAACTACTTTTTAGCTATTTTTTCTGTTAAGTTCAGCTGCTTTAGCTATTTTACAACAAATTGCAATTTTTTTGCATTCTTCTTTTTTTTACTTTTTTACATGAGCTTTTACTCTTTATTACTCTCTGTTCACCATCTGTGCTAATTTCAACTTGTTTCTTTTACTGCTATCTACTTTTGTTTTCCTACTTTCAGAAAAACTCAGCTGTTCAAATTTAACTAACATCAACAGTTTTGCTAGTAATTTTCAGCTTCTTCAGCAGCTTTCAGGAAAAAAAACTTTCAATCAAGCATTCACACTGCATTTTGCAGGAAATGCAAATTCTCTAGTTAAACTTTACCTCTCGAACTTGATTTTCTTTAACCACGTGCATGCTTATGTAGCGAATAGACTCCAACGCTGCTTGGAGGTTGTGTTGGTTGTAGAGGAGAGGTTTGAACTCAGGTCCTGGCTCCTGCGTCCTTCTCGCTTCTTCRGGTCTTCCTGCTCCGGCCGCTCCAGTCGTTGCGTAACGGTCCACGTGACTGCGCATGCACAGCAGTTTAGGGAGCCGGTGCAGGAAAATCCTTCTCACCCACGGTGCCATGTTAGTATGTGTGGAAGAGGAGCGGTGGTGAATGTTGATCGCAAAGACGGTGATGACGATGGAGAGCGTGACAAAGATCATGGTGAAAACCAGGTACTCTCCGATGAGGGGGATTGCCTTCGAGGAGGATGGGATGATCTCTTCGATGACTAACAGGAAGACGGTGAGCGACACAAGCACCGAGGTGCAGAGAGAGATCTTCTCACCACCGTTTGAAGGCAGATAGAAGACAAGAATGGTGAGGAAGGACAGGCCGATGCAGGGGATGATGAGGAAGAGGGTGTAGAAAAGAGGCAACCTGCGGATAATAAAGAAGTAGGTGATGGTGGGATAGAAAGTGTTGCCATCAGTTCTCAGACCACGGCTGCCTGTGGCCTTCACTATCTCCCATTCACCGTTGTCGAAATAGTCCTGCTTGTCCACGTGGAAGTCCTCCAGGGTAATGTCTACCTGTTAAAACACAGCACGAAATCTCATGGCGCCAACTGGTCATGACTGGTGCCAGTGCCCTGTGGACACTTTGAATGTAGAGACTCACCTGAGAACCATCATAGGTCCAAGATCCGAACTTCATCGAACAGTTCTGGAGGTCAAAGGGAAAGAAGGTGACATCTATGGTGCACGCTGACTTGTAGTTGGCTGGTGGAGTCCATGTTATGGTGCCATCATACTTAACAACAGCYTTAGTGACAGTCCCTTCAAAACGTCCGTCTGAACTGTGGACAGAAATTTGCCCGAGTTTCAGGTGCCGTATGGTGTACATCACAACTACTTCACGCAAAGCTATGAGTTTCTGAAAACATTCACAAGCTTTTTTGATCAAAATCAGTTAAGAACATAGAATAAAAGAAGGCCAAGTAAGATGTGACCCTGTCTGTGGCTGACAGCACTGAGGTAAAAAAATTTTAAGGGACTACAGTACACACTTGTCATACAGTACAACGTCAGGGAGCCAGATTCTGTCAGATGGAACACGGATTGTTGTGATGCCCAGAAAGTCTTCAGGATTCCACCTGAGTTTCATGTCACTCCACTCCTACAGAAAAGAGGGAAGAAAAGTTCTAAGCAGGACAAAATTCATCATTTTTTCTTTGTAATTGCTCACGTAGCTTGTCTAAGAAGGTACACTTTTTTTTTTACTTTGGTTTCTGTCCAGATTGCAAGCTCATCCCTTGGACTTATGTAAGGAGTGAAAGTGAAAACAGATGACATCATAAAAAAACTTTAATGGAGAAAAAAGCATTCGTAGAGCTAATTAACCATATAAAAAACTATTTCAGTAGAAGTACTGTAAGAATTTCTAAGATAGCCTACATCTGATTTAGATTAAACTTCTAGATTAAAATAAAAGATAAAAAGTCATCATGTATCACATTGTAAACTGTCAACACTTATTAAAAAAGAGGAATGGTGAATAAAAATGTCCAATTTTGCAAATGACATTTATGATGGATAGTCATCCCTAGTAGGGCCACTGCCCTTCAATTTCCCTTTTTGTTGGATGTAATTTATCACTGGGACAGGAAGCACCTGGATTGAAATGCAGAGCCTGGTCTGATAATAATTTATAAGATGCATGACAGACAAGACACCTAGGTCCGTGTAGAAGGCTGACAGGAGGAGGAGGAGGGGGAGGAGTGGACAAGAGGAGGCAGGTGTGTGGGCACAAAGCCAAATAGGCTCATACAGATGAGAACTGTCAACAGAATGCCACCAAACCTGATTAAAAAGCCCTGTGGAGGGGCAAACTGAGTCAAGTCCGTCATCTAAGCAAGAAGCTATTTCAAAGTGCCTCCACAGACTTTACGGGATGCTGACCTCGACATATGTGTACCTGCATGTCTACAGATGATGAAATGTAATGCTAAAGTTGAAAGGAATGCATACTGACCACCATCTTTTATGTTTTGGACTAAGATCATGAGATGAGATGAGCTATTTTGCTAACAGACAGGTCGGCAAACTGGTTGACTCCATCAGTTAATGCTGCTGCTGAACAGAAATCTTTTTTGGAGTGTGTGATGTGAAGGACGTTCAGCTACAACCACATCAAATTTCAGTTAAGTATCTCAGTACTGAACACATATAAAAATATGTGTTGGATATCAGTCTCAGCTTCTACTGCAGCAAATGCCATGTCAGTATCTGTAAATCTGAGTATGGGTTTGGCAGCCATTTTGACTTGGGTTGATTTTAAAAGTTCTTTAGTTGTAGATGTAAATCCAGTGACTTCATTAAAAAATGTCCAGCWGAGTATAAAATATTTTGGTCACAGACAAACACACATGCACACACAAAAAATATCTATCCTAGTGGGGACTTTGCATTGACTTCCATTTATTTCCTGGTCATTTCTATAGCCTAACCCTGACCCTTTCCCTAACCCTAACCACCCCAGTACATATCTAGCTTTAAATCTAACCTAAAATCAATTCACATTTTAGTCCTAAACTGAACTCCTGACCCATCAATGGCATTTCCCAATGGGGGACAAGTTTTGTCTCCATAAGGAACAGTGTGTCCTCACAAGGCTGTGTACTGAGAAAATGGTCAGAAATTTTCCCCGTCAGGTAACAAAAACATGTACACAAACACAATTTTGTATTTCTATCCTTATTGGGATGGCATATTGACTTCCATTCATTTTCAGACCCTGATTCTAAACCCAACCCCTAACCCAAAATTGATGTTCTACCATGGTCTTTGGTCCACGTAGGACTACTGGTTCTGACAAGGTAGGTGTTCACACCAGAAACGGTTCTAAAAAAGTAACAAAACACCAGCACACACAGACCAAACATCATCTTTTGCCTTTGCCTTTTGGTGTCCAACAATAATAAATCAAGTAACATGCATAGATTTGTATTTCATTACTTGCCTGTTTCATCCAAACATTGGTTGTCATCAACTGGTTTTTTTCATCCTAGTGTGAAAAAGGGAAAAATCAAGAAAATAACAGTTCTAAACCACACTGTGACTGAACATTCCTTTCATTATTTTTCACTCTAATTGTACATAAATGTTTGGAACCACAGCAAATTATCAAACACCAATGATCCTCACCACATCAACAAGTTGGGAGATAGCCAGGCCAAACTTCACACGGATGGACTGGTTTAGGTATTCCACAGGACGAACCCATTTCTGATAGTTTTCAAAGAGATATTTGAACAGCTTGTCTTCTGCTTTTGCATATGAGGAGAGCTTTGGAATCCCTAAAGAGAGAAAAGACTTAGCAGGGGTGTCAAACTCATTTTCACTGAGGGCCACATGAGTGTTATGGTTGCCCTCGAAGGGCCAGTTGTAACGAACTTTGATGTTTCATGTTTAACTTTGACTAAACAGAGTTTTAACATGTCCTCTTTTAAACACTGATAAGAACTAAGTGTGTGACTGACTAAATCTGTAATAAATACAGAAATATTCTTAAAAGTATAACTAATAAAGTTTTACTCACTGATGAGTAATAAGTAGTATGCATTATAGCAGATTTAGTTTATGGTGGATGCTTAATTTGTGTAAATAAATGATTGCATAGTCATTATTAACAAATTGAACTCGTCTGAACGTTCCACTTATTGTGTCGGTTTTCACTTCTTACAGTCAAGATATTAACAAATAATGAGAAATACCTTGGTAAAAGTTTTCCTCACAATATTGTGTATGAGAGATGTGGGAGAAGCTTAATTCACCTTAAGCTCACTTCCTAAAATGTCATGGCCTGCAAATAGTCCAGATCTCAACCCAATTGAAAACCTGTGGTGGAAATTGAAAAAAAAAAAAGGTCCACAAGAAGGATCCGACCTGCAATCCTGATCTAACAACTGCTATCAAAGAGAGTTGGCACCAAATTGATGAAGAATACTGTTTGTCACTCATCAAGTCCATGCCTCAGAGACTGCAGCCGTTATAAAAGCCAAAGGTGGTGCAACTAAATACTAGTGATGTATTTTGAATGGTTTTTTTGTTTATCTGTTTTTCATGATTCCATACTTTTTTCCTCATGAGTGATTCTATATTTTTTCCCCTGTGCTTGGTAAATAAAAGTAGCATTCACTGACTTCCACAATGTTTTCTCTTCATTTCTTTGAGTGTTCCTGAAAGCAACAAGTTGCACTTTGGAATGACCTTATTATTGTATCATGTTTTTGATCTGAGTTTGTTTTACAGAATGAAATGTCTGAATGAGTGCTCATCCAAGACTGGTGATTCCATACTTTTTGCCAGGGGTTGTATGTACAGTAAGTTCAATCAGTAACCTTACTGCAGTTTTTGGTTGCAGTGTTTCTCAGGGTGACCTCTGCGTTGAGGATTTGGTTTCAGGAGACAAACAAAGAGGCGACAGAAATATACTGAAAATAAGATGCCATCAAGGGAGCAATGGAAGAGATTTAGCGACATTGTAAAGGTATACTACGATCTAAAACCCTGCTTCACCTTCCTCYAAGAGAAACTAAGACGGGTCCTCAAACTGTACAAAACCCTCACCTAGTAGAACTTTTTTTTTAGTTTGTCTTTTTGAGCAAAAACCAACATAAGTGGGTTTGTAAAGGACCAAAACGATTTTTAAATTTATAATGTCAAACACCCATCAGCCCTCTGTCAGCTAAATAAACTGAAGAAAAAACATGTGAAAGGTTTGCACTGGAGTCTCTAACAAATAGTCATCAATGTTTTGTGTCTGACTTAGTTTTAAAAAATATGACAGTTTAAGACGGTCAACTACAACAAACTCAGCAGATTTTATTTTTGGAGCTGAAGTCAGATAAATACGACATGATTTACAGAGTCTCAGCAGAAGCTGACATTCAGTACAATGTGAATGATACAACTTTTAAACAGCGTATGAAACTTCACATCGTTTAGACGTTCTGGTGTAATGAATGGATGCTGAACATTTTTTAGAAAGTGAAAGCTTTGCAGTGAGTGGTTCCACTTCCAGTCTTTGGAAGTGAGACAGCRTTTGGCTACAGCTGGAAACGTAATTCAAGTTTTGGTCGGATCGAGGTAGAAAACTGGACACAAAAATTGGGTGGAACTTACACGTAATTACCAACACCTAACCCTACCTAACATTCAATTCTTTACTGTGATCCTTAATGCAGGTCTGTCACATAATACAATAAATTTAAAAATGACTCCACAGAACTGCATTAATCCTGCATCATAACCCTGCCTTGTAACACACTATATTTATTGCTGGAAAATGTGGCTAGAAATCTATAACAAGACAGACTGTAAGGATTTGTGTCACTCTCTCACAGCTTGGATCAATACATGGAAGGCTCCAACGCCCTCCGTCAATGACCGTGTGATTAGCCAAGTCATCATCTCTTATTCTTCTTCTATAACGAGCCAACAGAACAACTGGTTGAGAAACAAGCCACATAATTTATTGGTTTGGATTTCATCCCTAAGGATTTACAGCTGGAATGTACCAAGTATGGTTTAAAAAGAGGTCAAGAAACACATTTAAAATCTGGAAAGTCATATATGTTGATACTGACTGAGGAAAAATTATATTTAATGTTGATTTATTCACTCAGTGGATTGTTAGCTAACAAACTGATGGAGTTAGAGACATATTTTTTGACATCAAATGTGCACAAAAGCAACACTGCTAACCTTTGCATCATACATATTTTAACAGCCATATATAATATTTTTGAGATTAAAGTGGATTTATAGCGATGTAAATTAATTAATTAAYTTAACCAGTACTGATTTTATGAGTTTAGATCTGCAAGCTTTTTTTTTCTTTTACCGTTCCCCGTCTCATACTTCCCACATTTTCACATGTTTGAGTCATTTTCCACCCTGAACTTTGTCCCATATAATAACTTCATGAGGCATTCCTTGCTCATAAAAGACTTACGCAGTGAGTGGCACAGGTGGCACAGCAGTGGAAGCAGCAACAACAGTCTGATCGAGGTGGGCGCTCCTCCTGCTCCAAGCATTATATCAAAGTTGGCATTGAACACAAACAGCAGGTCCCTTGGGCATCCCAAAGCTGAAAGGTGAAAATCGGTTATTGTTTAGTAGGCACCAACAACAAAAACAATGTATAATGGGAAATCAACAGCATTTTAATGGTGAACGTGTTTGAAAATGGCTTAGGTTTAAGGTTTAGTTAGTCACCTTTGCTCACTAGCACCATCTGCAATAAAGACCACTCTGCATTGATAACACCCCTTTATTAACACAGAGCAACACCCTGCACAAAGCTAGAATGCCCTCTATCTTTGGCGTGCTATCATGACCCTCTCAGGGGTAATAAATCCACACATGTGCATGAAAAAGGCAGTGCACATACCTGCTCTGACTCTCTCCCATTAGCACAGAATCCAGCGGTTGTGAAGCGGGAAGGAGTCTTGCCACTAGCATCAGTGATGCATCGCTCTCCTCCTCCATTCCACGCAGGTCCTTTTGCTCGCCTCTCGCAGACGCTGCTGCACTCCCTGCTGCCTCCAGTTGAGCGCAAGCAACACATCCTCATCTCTCCTCTTCCTCCTCCTCCTCCCTCTTCAGAGTCTGCTCCAGCCCCTTCACCCAAAACCAGCATCAGTCTTTTTTTTTTTCACTGAGAAATCTAGTCACTAACCACAGACAGGAATAGCCTCTCCCCAGACGTAGTCACACTGCTGCCTGGAAAAAATACATAACAGCAGCAAATAGCAAACTGTGATTCAGATTTCTGTGACAGTTTGCAGGTAGAGCTTCTGTACATCTGGCTTTTGTCATGGCTGTATGTGTGGAGAGATGTATTTTTTTATATACTGGAGAAATGGCATTCGTGGTTTCCCTGCACATCATGGAGAAAATAAAAGGAAGCTAATTTCTGACACTTGTTGTATTTCAGTCTAATGTAGATGTGTGCAGGGAGACATTTCTGGCTCATCGCAGGACAAATWCAAACGCATCACTCCTGTTCATTCGTTTATTTACAAATTATATGACCCATATAGCCACTGGTGTTGTCTTGGATTAGCTGCCAAATGATTTGGCAGTGAGCACATCATCGTTATCACCTGCTGCCAAAGAAGGAACAATAATGTTTTTGCCTGTGYGTGTTGTCGGTCCCATTAGCAAAATATCTCATGAACCACTGGATGATTTTTAATGAAGCWTTTAGAATGCAATCATTAGTCACTGACTAGTCTCTGTAGAGAACAAATTCTCACTCCCGACTCGTCAACATATTGACACTTTTCCAAGGTTCCCTCTGTGTCTTATTTTGACGTGTTGGGTAACCCCCTCACGTTAGTCCTTGCCGCCCATGGCTTTAGGTTACTGCGTGGATGTGAGTGTGAATGGTTAAATTATGTTACCGCTATGCGGTATCTGGTTTTGGATTGAGTTTGTCATGAGACACAAAGGTGCTGCTCACCTGAAAGCACGGTCCTACAAAACGCCCTGGTATATCTACCACTCTGTAGATGTAGTCCTCTTCCTGACTGCAGTACTACTGCTGGTGATTTTAACAATTGTCATATTATTAAGGTGTTTATGCAATGCTGTGTGTAAACAAAAAGTAAAACGTGACTAATGTGAATGTAGCCTGGCCCTTGCCTTCCTACGCAGCTCCGCTCAATTCTAGTTTCCTTCACTGCTCCGGCTGGCATTTCTCCCATAGACAAGGATTTCGCTGGCAGATTTTTAGCCGAACCAGTCAGAGAAGAGAACGTCGATTTTCTGCGCAGTTTCTGCTAGTTAGTTAGCAATGGCAGTGGAGGAAGTGAATGAAGCCAGTCCGTGTTGATAAGGCTTCCAAATTAAATTAAATTTGTCTGACAAAGCAGCAGCTCTCATTTACAGCCGTCTTGTTCAGCTCGGTACTTTTCCCCTCTCAGTAGGGTTGTTTACAGCGCTCGCGATTTCCAGTTAGCTTCTTAGATTAGCCTCCTTCACAGCAACACTTCAGCAGAGGCCACACCTCCAGCAAGAATCGCTTCTCTATAGCCGAGAGTCCAGACCCTCTGTACAAAGCAAAGGACAAGGGTCTGGTTTTTACCAGGCTAATGTGAATGTAAATTTTTGTTATTCAGTGATTGGTGGCATACAATTGAAACCTTGCTTTAACAGTTTTTATTTTACTAGTTATGGATTGATGAAATGAGTATTGTTTTATATGTGAATGTGATTTAATTGTCAAGAAAATTAAATTGGCTTTGAAATCACAGAAATGTGACAGTGTCAGTCAATGCAACCATATAGTTCCCTTTTGAGTTTAAAATCTGGCAGAGCAGTTGACTTTGCTTGCCAGAATTTATGTCCCCCTTTTATCTACAGTATGTATGTCCCTTCTGAAATTAAAGACGTAACAAATCTGGGAGATATGTTGATTAATGGTGAAAAATCATCAGTCTTTTCTCTAGGAGTCCAGCTTTTGTCAGTGCATACTCTAACCTCATTTTTAAAAACACATGCTCACTGAAGAGGATGTAATATGACACAGCATGCATTTCCATATATGTAAAAAGGTCAATAGACCTTTTTTTGTTATAAATGTACGAAGTGACCAAGCTCAAAAGTCTTTCAATAAAAAATGCTGAAGTTTCTATGGAAACTTTATTGGAATTGATCATCAACAAGCTCAAAATGCAGATTTATATCTTAAAAAAAWTTATGAAAACGCTCTCATCTATGATCTTAAAGGAAAGTTTAACATGAATCAGTTGAGCAAATACATTAGGTCTGTATAACAGCATAAATTTGCTGGTTGAATTGGTTCAGTTCTAAAGGTGTTTCATATCAACCTCAGTGTTTGTTACCAAAGTCATACGAGCTTGGTTGCTTCGTGCATTCACAATTGTAGCTACAAAATGGTCTCCTTTCCCATGCTGCTGTGCAAGCAGAAAACTAGGAAATGATCTATTTACAGATATAGGGCAATATTAGATTTATTGTATTTGTGTGTGTGTGTGTGTGTGTGTCTCTGTGTGTGTGTCTCTGTGTGTGTGTGTCTCTGTGTGTGTGTGTCTGTGTGTGTGTGTCTCTGTGTGTGTGTGTCTCTGTGTGTGTGTGTCTCTGTGTGTGTGTCTCTGTGTGTGTGTGTCTGTGTGTGTGTGTGTGTCTGTGTGTGTGTGTCTCTGTGTGTGTGTGTCTCTGTGTGTGTGTGTCTCTGTGTGTGTCTCTGTGTGTG